AGAGGAGCCAGTTGAGGTGGCTCGGGCATCTGGTAAGGATGCCTCCTGGASGCCTCCCTGGTGAGGTRTTCCGGGCACGTCCCACMGGGAGGAGGCCCCGAGGAAGACCCAGGACAYGCTGGAGGGACTATGTCTCTCGGCTGGCCTGGGAACACCTTGGAGTTGCCCCGGAGGAGCTGGAAGAAATGGCTGGGGAAAGGGAGGTCTGGGCCTCCCTTCTGAAGCTGCTGCCCCCGCGACCCGATTCCGGATAGGCGTAAGAAAATGGATGGAAAGATGGAAAATACATATATTGATATAAATCCAGTCCATGTTTTGACCACAACCCATGGTGTTGCACAAAAGGACATGCCAGGTTATTATTATCCAGTTCGCATTTTTGTACCAACCTTCCCTCCGCCTGTAAACCGAAGCTCTGTGGAGCGGGAGAGCATGGACCTTTAGACCAGTGTTGCCAGGTCCGCTTATTATAAGCRACTTTGGGCTTCTTATTTTTCTAAAGTCGCTTGTAAAATCCGTGAGCTGTGTGTTGCAGGTTTTTTGGGCTTACCTTTGAACGTGAGTTGCTTATTTTGGGCTTGCCTTTCTTTCCGAATGGCATGCTTAAAATCTGCTCCTGTTGAAGCAGAACACAAGGAGTAGTGGATTTGTCCCTCCCATTCCCCAGTTTCCTGGTTGTTGCTCCTGCCTGAGTTGAGTCGGCACACTTCAACACACACACCAGAGTGACGGGGAAACAAGCAGGGATGAGGCACTGTTCCGGTTCAGAACATTTGACAGGAGACTTGATACAGCACACGAGCGTCTACTTTTAAGTTTCTACGTTTATAAAGCACCTTTCTTAGACATCAGAAAGCACTTCACATAAAACAAAATAAAAACAAGAAAGTAAAATAGTAAATTAAACATCACCACTGCATCACATTCATACAAGAATACAAGTAGTAAAAAAAACACTTAGCTAAAAGCCTGTTTGTAAAAGAACGTTTTCAGATTTTTTTAAAAAGCATCAATAGAATCAAGGCTGAGTATAGGTTGAGGCAGTGATTTCCAGAGCCAAGGTGCAACTGCTTGGAAAGACCGATCCCCTCTGGATTTAAAATGTGAGCGGGGTATACCACCAACAACAACTGACCTGATGACCTCAAACTTACAAGATGGTGTGTGAAGCTGGATCAGATCTGAGATATATGATGGGGCTTGACCATGTAAGGATCTAAAAGTTAAAACCAGAATTTTAAAATGAATTCTAAAATTCATTCATTCTAAAACACTGTGGGGATTGGTGCGCTCGATTTRATAGACTGGGACATTTTTCACAGGTGGTGCACAAATAAATAAAACATGCTGCTTACATTGAGATACAACTACAGTACAGTAAAATATTGATAAGTTTTAATTTGTTTGGAATTTGCTAATTAAATTGCACGAATTGAGCGAGAGAGAGAACAATATAAGCCAGAGCCAATTTTTTTTTTTAAATCAGCAGAAACTACTTCTTCACCTCTGGATTTAAGTGAAAAACAGAGTGAGAATGAGTTGCAGTAAGTCAGGAAAATACAGTGTTGTATAAAGTACCTCAAAGTGATAAGTAAAAGTACAAGTATCTTATCATAAAATACTTTGGTAAAAGTTTGTCTTCTCTAAAAAATATCACTTGAGTAAAAGTTTCAGATGTTTTCAGATATTCCAAATTTTGTGGTCAGTCCAGACCACAAAGGGTTCCTTGGCTCTTCAAGCCAATGCCTCCATTCCTCAAGGGCCATTTTAACAGTTCACGTTCTCTAACATCGTAATTTCTTTCAGCACTGGTGAGGCTTCTGGAAACAAAAGCACAAGGAGGAAGTTTTTCATCTTCACCCACCTGATTGAGGATGGCACCCACGCCAGTGCTAGAGGTGTCCACTTCTACAATAAACAGCCGACTGCAGTCTGGAGCATGAAGGATGGGAGCCTGGACAAACAATCTCTTGAGTTTGTTGAAAGCTTCATCAGCTTGCTCATTCCATTTGAACCTCACCTTAACTGAGGTGAGTGAGTTGAGGGGCGCAGCGACTTGACTGAAGTTTTTAATGAATCTGCAGTAAAAATGAGCAAATCCCAGAAACCTTTGGAGTTGTTTCCAGTCCTTGCGAGAGGGCCAGTCCTTGACTGCTGAAACTTTACTTTGATCCATGGATGTTTGGCTGGGTGAGATTACAAATCCTAAAAAAGATGTGGAGGTCTGGTGAAATTCACATTTTTCAGCTTTGACTAACAAGTTGTTTTGGAGGAGTCTCAGTAGGACTGCTCTGACATGTTTTCTGTGATTTTCAAGGTTGTTAGAAAAGATTAGGATATCATCCAAATATACGATTATGAACTGGTTAATCATGTCCCGAAGTAGATCATTAACCATGGACTGAAACACAGCAGGGGCGGTAGTGAGCCCAAAGTGCATTACCAGATGTTCATAATGGCCTGTAGGGGTGTTGAAAGCTGTTTTCCATTTGTCTCCTTTTCTGATACGAATGAGGTGGTAAGAATTGCAGAGATCTAACTTGGTGAACACCTTGGCCCCTTGAATTACGTCAAATGCTGAAGACATAAAAGGTAGGGGAAACTTGTTTTTAATGGTTATATTATTACAATACCAATAGTCAATACTGGGTCTTAAGGAGCCATCTTTCTTTTCTACAAAGAAAAATCCTGCACCAGCAGGAGATGCAGAGGGTCGTATTATCCAAGCCTGTAAACTCTCTTCAATATTTTTGTTCATGGCTTGGGTTTCGGGAGCAGACCATGAGAACAGACTGCCTCTAGGGGGAACCATACCAGGCAAGAGATCAATAGGAGAGTCATATGGCCTATGGGGGGTGGGGTGAAGTAACTTTAGTTTTGTTGAAGACCTCCTTTAAGTCATGGTATTCCACTGGTACTTTAGTTAGATGAGGATATTTTTGTCAATCTCCTCTGGAGGACAAAAGGACCCTTTGGCATCAAAAAGGCTTGAGGAACATTGATCAGCCCAGCCTGAAATTTCTCTCTTGACCCAGTCAATATGAGGGTTGTGTTTGCCATGTGGATCCCAAAATAACTGGTAGATCGGGAGATTGGATGACAAAAAAATTAGATTTCCTTTTGTGTCGAGGCTTCGAAGCGTGCACCGAGTAATAGAGGAGGATTTTTGTGGAGCGCGTATCGAGGCTTCTGTTGATGATGTTCGAAGCCTCGCTGGTGGGTCGAACCACGTGACTGATTCAGGGACTGATTCACCTGTTTGCGCAAGATTCAAAAGAGGCAGCAAAACGCTGCTGAATCTCCCGTAACATTATGTTGCCATGAAATTGTATTGCGTGCATTTAAGTTATTCAGCTGAGTGACTTTTTGTCTGA